ATTTGGTAGCTAGGTTCTGTGAATCAGTCATCATAACCGAGCACTTATAGATATTTGCAGGCAGTAGCCAAAAGTGAGAGCTTATTTAATCTTTTCTCTGGCGGCCTGTATACTTATCCAAGACATCGACGTAGGTCAGAAAATCTTCTCTCCTTTGGACCTGCTGCAGAAAACGTTGTGTCGAAAAATGTCTTCCTCCTTTTCAGATCCGCGAGCCTAGGTAATATCACGCCAGGTGCATAGGTTGTTTCATCCTTTGTTTACCAATGTGTGATATTCATCAACTGATACTGTGCCTCCATTGTTTCCCCTGGGTTGACTGCAAGAACCCTAAAGTACTGTGTTGGGGTTCAGCTATGATAACCGAAAGGTGTTCTGATCTCCTTGAATTTACTAACTTATCGAACATATTCACAATTTCTGATTGGTGATGGCTTCGGTAATCACTGTTCTAAGAACGACCACGGTGGTTATCCCATGGTGAACCTGAACCGAGAAATGCGACAATGGCAACACGATTGTTCGAAGACAGTTTGCACTTACTATTTGTGAATGTCATACGTTAACCTAAATTCACCCGGTTTACTTTGTGTGATGGAGGCTTTTTAAGTAATACTATATGATTTCAGCGACCATTATTGAATTCAGAGCCCATACTCAGAAAAGTGCATTTTGACCAAAATATGGCCAAAATTGTTATTTTGATTGTTCAGTGCTTCAAGGTGCTTCTGCTGTGGTGTCACGGAGATGGATTATGACCTGAAAGTGTCGAACAAACTGGATGTGAATCTGGTCGACACTGATGTGTATATCGATTGAGCTGTTCTATTGGTGTCCCAGTGCAGCCGCTTGAGGTGTAGCTTACAAATTCTGTTGCAGCATCGTGCGACAGCGGTAAGCAATGGCTCAAACGTTGATCGCGCATGATTCACTGGTATCAGCGGAAGGACACATACACACAGAGACATACGCGTGCTAGCAAGATAAACAGCCGTTAAATATGCCATGATAATTGAGGCGTGTGTGACCGAATCTCGTCTCACAATCGTCCCTCGCACTAAAGTGCGACAGGAGGTAGAGAAATCAGTGTTGCATGGTCGTCATCCGGGCATCGTTGGGAGGCTTGTCAGCACCGGTGAAGTCAACGCGACAGCTTGAAATAATCCGAGGACATCTGGAAATGATACTGGGAAAACTTGAAATAATCGCCAGACACCTTGAAATAATGGTCAGCCAACTTGAAATGATTCACGCACATCTTGAAATAATCCCAGGACATCTTGATGCGATATTGGGACAACTTGACTTGCAAAAGGTACAGTGAAACAAAATCTCCGTTTTTCAGAACTGAAAATTATCCGAACGCGAGTCCGAAGGCAAACAACTGTTTTCGAATGATTTATTATCATGCCTGTACAGACGAGGGAAAGGTTTCTTGGTAGTGGGGACATTTTGACGCTGGGTCGAAAGGTCATTTGGGATGCGTTCGACTGAGACTGATTGTGATCGGAGTGTTGTTGGTGGTGGTGATGTTGATGGTCAATTTGGTCCAGGGTAAGTGGAGAGCTTCAACCAGTCGCTTTTGTGCACATAGTTCTGCTGCTAAAGGGCGAATGCCTATCGCCTCAGCGGTGGCTAGTGTGTGTAAGCGGGGGCTGGGGGGGGGAAGGGGCACACGATAGATTACGCTGAAACCGGATTCTGGTCTAATTTGAGGGCCTGTATCCACTAAATGACCAAGATTGGCGCTTACTATGCTTCCTGTTCCTCCTTGTTTTAACCAGCGTGGGCAGTGTTCCTTCATCCGTTGGGATGGTTGCCACTAATAACAAACCCTTATATGATCTGTACAGGCACGATTATGAATCGTTCGAAAACAATTGTTCGCCTTCGGACTTGTGTTCTGATGTTTCAGTGGGATTATTCTGGGATTGGAAAATATCGGTCAGGAATAATCAATCACAAGCCGCTTTTGATCATTCGTATATTTGAATTTTTCCATACGGTGAGGATGCGAGACCTCAACAAGTGGATTGCATGGAAGACTTCCATTTGCATAAACTCGTCTCTCAAGTAAACAAAAAAGATGTGAATGAACCAGTCAATCATGTTGGTTTCCTGTGACAACAGGCATGTTTTGCTGGTGTGAGCTATATTCATGGTGGTGCTGTCTTCCTAGAAAGGTGTAGACCCCCACACCCCTCAATTACGAAATCACAGGCAAAACAGAAGTCACTCAGAGTTCGATAGCCGATTAAGTCTGATTTTATTCCCACCCACGCCACGATGCGACATTTAGCGAAAGATTTTCGCTTTTCCGTGGAATAGAACATACGTGTTTTCAGTTGAACCCTCCGAGGGCAACGAAAGAGGTGATGTTATGGTGAATGTAAAGTGTATCATTTTACGGATTCATTATACATTATCATATACCCCTTCCTCCTACCCATAGTCGAGTTACGGAGATCGACTTGTTGTACGCGAGGCCAAACTCAGACGACGAGTCACCCTGCGTTGACTCCAATCGATAGTATGCACCGGTGATCGAGATTATAGTTTCTGCCATACCACGAATATCTCGTGATGTGCGTGTATCTATGCTTTATCCTTAAGCTGCCAGGTAGTTACCATAAAATATTTTTTTGATTTGCAAACTTTTTCCAACATCAAAAAACCTTTATTTTTTAGTACATCCGCATTATCGATAGGTTATTTCTAGTCTCTATATACATCACCCTTAGTGGGTCAGGTGTGCGGTTGTTGTTTCGTTCGTTAACTGACAGAGGGAAGGAACATTTTGGGGACTACATCCAGATAACACGAAATGTTATGATCAAGATAGAAGAGCGAGTCAAATTGGTTGTTTGGCTCTTCTGGTGAGGTTCTACGAGACGTACTTAGTGTCAGCCATTATTCGAAAACAACCGATCGGAGCAGTTCAGAGGTGTCTCAATGAACTGATGACGTCATTGTTCGGTGCAACTTATTCATACATGAACTGGGGATCGAGCCCGGGACCTCAGTGAAACCCGACAGGTCGAAACAGCTGTTGAATGCCTACCAGCTTTTTAGTTCACGCTTCATTTGTCATATACACGGCAAATTTCCCCTTTGAAATTGGATTAAATCCTCAATTACTCACATGAAATAAACGGTACTCTATCACGAGCACACTGTACCACACCCATCTACGATTACTAGACAAAAATGATTGAAGACTAGTTGTGATTTGATGTTGCGTCATTCTTACCGTCTCTTAAATTTTTACTGTCAGATAAAAAGTTACTTTCACCTCCGTCAAACTCTTCAGGTAATGAATCATTCATCCTCTGATAATGAGGTGAGATCTCAGTCTGTTCCTGGTAAATAAATCAACTGAGTTCAACGGGGCCAGGGGGGGGGGCACTAACAGAAAAATAGGAAAAACGATAATGTCGAAGATAGCAAATATATCGTCGCTGGACAGAAATTCCTCCACGGTATATTATNATATTATCTGCCTAATACAAACAAGTTATTGCAAATTATTAGTGACATTCTCTGCCGGGTCCTGACAGTGACGAAACAACCGTACAGTGTCTGCTTTTTCACATTCCACAAGGAATTTCCATTGCACATCGTTTTCACATATTACCAATCTCGATTGTTTCCAGAACAAGCAAATAATTTTGTTCACAATTGCAATTCATATCACCCGCATATTTCACTGAATATGTTTTTGTATTTTGAAACTACAATTATTTGATGCATGCAAGAGTTTCAGTTCCTGTTTCACTGACCATGCACTTTTGTGTGCCAGTTTTGGTTGACGTCCATGAGGATTGAAGCGGCAAGAGAAAATTCAACCCGAAGATGGAGAATTCAAATAGACCGGGGTTGTAAGAATAATGAGTAGATGCACAAGTACCACTGTTTGCAACACTTAGCCATGTCACTCAGCGCCTCTAACAACCGGTGACCATGATCTCAGGGTTCCAAGCCAGGGAGCCTAACTAGACCCTAACTGTGTCCTGGTTAGGATTTTCATACCCTCATGCCGTCCTAACTTAATCACTCTGGACCTACACTCTACCCTTCATGGACAGCCGGGTATCGCGAGGGCGCCACAGATGTCTCTGGTTTATAAATGCCAACCGAGCCTTCTGTTTTCGTGCCGACACTTCATCTGTGAGATATAGCGACCCAGATAACTCAATTTTTCTACGTACTCTATAATGTCTCCAGTGAGAGTGAATTTAGGATTTGAACCAACTCACCTTCTGTAGCGCGTAAGAGTAGAGAAAAACACGGATGACAGCAATTAACTGAAGTATAGAGGTAGATAAATTTACAAAAAGTAGTTGACAGACAGATCAATGAAGTCGCTCAGTTTGAGGTAAACTTTCAGCCGAGACGAATACATCAAACCCATGTCGGATATAGATCAATAAAAGAACAGTCAATCGGCAAAAGGCAGGGGAAGGGGAACAGGCAAATGGCACATACTGTCAGCTTGTCATGATCGAGTACAAATAGTGGCTTTAGTTCGGTCTAGCAAGTAGCACGTTTGGGTGCGCGAAATTCGTTTGCCCGGAACAACTGCACACAAATTGCCATCGTTCTATCGGATTGTTTGGATGTGATATGCTGTCGCTCAAAACAAAAGGCGTTTTAAGGAATGTTTTCTCATAAGGTGACATGCAGAACTCCAGTAGGTTTACAAACAACCAAACATCAATCCGCAGAGGATAAATCAAACTTGAAGAGTATCGATCATTTATTTGTCCCATTTTCAGATGCAAATACGTCATATACTATTGTATAAACTGGATACACAACATTCTACTCCCGTTAGACACAGTAAAATTGAAGTACATGTACAAAAGGGAGCTACAATGAAATCACTGGGCATCGATAAGCGGGAGACGTGACAGATCAAGGTGTGTTTTCCGTCCGGTTGATAGATTGGCAAGTGGAAGTGCGAGGCATTGCCATGCACATTGGTCCTAATTTGATGGCGTTCATAATGTATTGTCCAAATAATTTGTACGATCATAATTACTACTTTCTGTCCAGTCATCTTCGTCCGGAGTGGTTTGTTGCGGTCCATTGGCTTCTGTTCGTCTTCGTTCTAAACGATATAGCTGACGTTCTGCTGCATGAATGACCAATTCCAAACTGCGACTGTTCAGAGTGCGTAACAATCGGAAAATCGCATTTCGGATGAGACGTTCGTGCTATATAGATAGATATATGTAATTAAGAAAGCGGTAAAGGGAGAGAGATGTTTAGGTTTGTCATTTCGGTGTATATATGTGTCTGTGTTTATAAATGATTTCAGTTCACATCTATCACGGTGCCTTGAGTACCATCCCCACGGCCACAAAGATAGACTGTTTGATATCCATAGTTAGTCTTAGTAGACAAGGTAAGATGACAAAAACGGAATGACACTGTGTCCTGTACGGATGATGTGATACCCGATGCGGATTGTGCGTGCGAATGTGAAAACGGTTTCGGAAAACAACCAAGTTATTAACAAGGATNGAAGAAGTAGACAACACACAAGCGAGGTATGACGATAATCAATAGGCTAGTGACATGGGACTGAATGTCTTTTTATTACCCCTCTTCTCCTCATTTATGATTACAAACTGTTTCGTTTGCCTATGTTCGGCAAGCTATGTTCGGCGAACAATGAGACAGGAATCAGAGGTCATAACTCGGGCTGTCTGTGCACCGGATGAGAGAAATCACCAAACTATGTGGTTTTGGTCCATCTCACTGAATCCCCTCAGAGAGAGAGCGTCGCATTTCAAGTAGTCTACAAATTGTTCTACAGTTACTCAAACTACGTTCGTAAACATTACTCGGCCATGGGAGAAACAGTTGCACTCAGAAATCGAAACGCAGCATAAGGCGAACAGAAATAAAAACAGCTGCGCACTACAGTTACTTTGGTTCGTCCCAATCAATTGTGACGAAACAAACCATTAACTCAATCATCTCATGATAACGAAACATAAAGTTAGTGATACGTCATTTTTGATGAAATGTCATCGCAAATTCCCACCAATTACCTTCCCCAGCTCCGGATTCTACCCACGTTATGAGGTTCTATCCTCACTCGGGTGACTGCAACACACACGGATACAATTGGAGCCTTATGTAGTTCGCTGTTGCATACCCCAGGGCTCCGGTTTACATTGTGTCCTTATCGCTATGGGGTTTATATCCCTTTTGGTGTCTACCATTCAAGGTTGGGCAATAAAAAGCCTATGATATTTAAACCTAATTTTTCGTGTTGAGAGTTATTTATAATCCCCGTTGGATTATGAATAGCAAACGTTTTCAAAATCATTTCAATCTTTTCACATCTCATTGTTTCTGTCATGTGGGTTTGCGGGTTTGGTTCGTCAATAGTGTCCGTTGTGATCGATCGTAAGTCCGTTGGGGCTGTTCGGAGGAGCGGTTGGCTTCCGAGCACACACAGAGAGATAATTAGGGGTCATTTGTGGAAGTATATTTATACGCTTGGTTGATGCTACCTCCATTTGGGGCTGCAGGGGTTTGCAAATATATATATCGATCTCCGGGTAAAAAAAATTAACTTAATTCAAACAAATGAGGACGTGAGTTAGACTGCCTGTTCGCTTGATTGTCCCCGAAAATAAACGCCACGATGAGTACAAGTGTGACCCACTCGGTCAATGGAGCACGAGAAGTTTGTAAGAATTCTTGTTTATTCTATCATCACCGATCCGTCAAAACTCTCCTGGCATCTCCGAAGTAACTAAGCAACTAATTTAAGCTGCTTCTTAGCCTTGATTTTACGATGAGACTAACATGATTTTGACGATTCCAACCGATGGTTTGCGTTTTTACTCCATGTGTTTATTTTTCTGACGATATATATTTACACCGGATTCTATCTTCAACCATTTTGGAAGTCGTAGTGTGACGGGCTAACCGACTCCAGCGGCTATGGGATTTGGACAGGCTTGGTAAAATCCTCATACATTCATTCACCATAGATACGGCATTGAAAAATCATTGAAAATCAGTTCTTCTATCTCGGGTGAACTGAATTCTATTTCACC